TTTCCATTTGATTTAGTATTGCTGGAGCTTCCTTTTGAGATCTGGAATTGAGTTTCCATTTGATTTAGTATTGCTGGAGCTTCCTTTTGAGATCTGGAATTGAGTTTCCATTTGATTTAGTATTGCTGGAGCTTCCTTTTGAGATCTGGAATTGAGTTTCCATTTGATTTAGTATTGCTGGAGCTTCCTTGTGAGATCTGGAATTGAGTTTCCATTTGATTTAGTATTGAGAAGGCCTGGTTGTCTTTTTTTGGGGGGTGGGGCCGATGGACCGCACTAATTCGAGGGGGGTTATTAATCGGGGGTGTAAGGGGCTAATGTGGGGTACCATTTGAAACCTTCTAAACCTGATTTTTTCTAGTAAAGGATTTCATAAGAAATCAATCATCTCAGAACACTTTTTGCTTTGTGGCTTAGGCAGGCCCAAAAGCATCCACCAAGCTTCAAGATGAGAGTAGGAGGTGGAGATGAGAGCCCTAAGCAAGGCAGCAGCAGGAAGAGAAAGGTACCAGAAGAAAGCATGACATGAGTCCACAATCTTCAACAAGCAGTGGAGAAAATAAGATAGCAGCAGCCGAGGAACCGGTTTAATTGGGGGGGGGGTTTAGATCCCTTTCTTATTTGGGGGGGGTATTTTCTGAGTTATGAATTGTTGTGTATTTGGGGGGGGGGGGGGGTCACCCGGACCGGACTAATAGGGGGGGATTATACATACCGGGTCAACATTACATGCAGGTAATAGAACATGATTAACATTTAACCCACCTGGAGGGTAAGTGTTGGCAAATATTCCATGTAGAGTGTGTTTGGGATTTTTGTCCAAGCCCAGGCCTAGCTCTCAAAACTCATCTCCAGGAGCGGCTCGATCCCGAAGCTTTCCTGGCGGGTTTCCTGTGATCCAAAACGCGTCGTCTGGAGCATGTCGATTGCCCAGGCTGGGCGTGACCGGCACGCTCACTTGTTCAGAAGCTGGGGACATAGCTTGTATGCCGAAACAGGAAATTTACAAGGCCGTGGACAACCCAGCATTTGGACATGTACACCAAGCGCCGCGAGATCGAGGTCTTAACCTCCAGCTCGGCATGAGTAACAATAGCTGGGCATCAACCTGCTCATCAGAAAGCCACTGACTGGCCAATCTCAGGCTTCCCGTTCCCGACTCAAGCACATGTGCATCCTTAAATCTTGAAACAAAACATTCGAGCAATGCACACCGGCACAGGAGTTCAACCTGCAATGTTCGCTACCTAGCAGTACAGCCTGAATGGTTGCATTCTACAAGGGACATCTCTACTACTTGATCCGAAGTCCAAGGATTCCCCCATAACCTGTCAGCTGCTGCAAAACAAGCTAAAACACCAGCAAGAGCTCCGCCGGCATCCGATTCGGACGGCTTCCCCATGCGGTCCTCTGGATTGAGCCCCCCTGGCAAAGCCACGTCCTGGCTCGGCGGGAATCCAGCCCGTGAAGACTGGCAGTCTGGGCGTCACATTTTAGTGGACCCCGCAAAATGGCTTCGGTTGTCCTGTTGGCCTGCTTTAAGGCCTGCCTTCAAAAAAAACTTCCCATATCGCAGCAAGCCATCCCTTCAAAGGTTCCTCCAACCGGATGCCTTACCCGTGGCCATGGACCACAAACAAGGGCGCCCTTTCTTGGCAGCTGATCTTAAAGGGGACCCTCCAAAAAGTAGGACAACCAGGACGCAAAGGGCGCCACTGGGTGGGCCTGTGACTTGCCCTGATTTGCGGCTGACGGGTTGCAGACTCAAGTGACTTGGACACATCCTCGCTTGCTTCACGCCCGAAGTTCACGAAGATAATGCAGAATTGCAGGGTGTCTGACTGGCTGAAGTGCACCAGCCAGATGGCTCCATTTTGTTGACCTAACTGAAGCCAGCCAAATGGGCTAGGGGGGCGACCCCGGGAATTTCATTCGTGGGTCCCTTAGTCCTTTTATGGGGAAGACGACTAGATTAATGGAATTGGGGCACCCCCCCGCACCTTGGGGGATGCTTGACACTCCCGGCGCCTTGCTCCAAGGAGTGGCCACTCTGCCCATGTTCAGCGAATCCACCTCGGATTCGAGTTCGGATGTCCGCGTGCTTGACGCGCATGCTGTCCTCATTTACACAACAAGAAGCAAAGAACCAGCCAACCAAGCAGCTCTTGATGTGGACCTGATGGGACTTTAGAAAGCGAAATCGTGTTTCGTCCAGCCTATGCAAAACGATAGTTGTGAATCGGCGCTGCAAGCGAAATCAAGGATTAAAACTATATCAACGCCCTGTGGTTCTCCAAATGTATGGTTAAACGGCTCGGCTACCCTCACTCAACATAGCACCCACAAATCACATAAAAGACAAAAAGTGAAACTGCCAATCTGATTTGAGAACAGGTGCCCAACTTCGCTGAGACCCACAAAGTCCCTTTCTGAGTACCCGGACATATGGGGGAGGCGATCCAATCGCGCATGCGTTGATCTTGGATCTTGGGGTCGCAAGGTAGGCCCGACTTTCGGGTCCAAGTTTCGCCGTGAAACCCATTGCTACTTACTCTCACTTTTCAGGGGATTGATGTAACAGAAAGTGCCCCAAAACAACTTTCCCACAATCGTGTTTTGGCTGGTTGCCAATCACTCAGAAACATTCTCTCCAACAACTCAAAATTCGTTATGAGCCTAGGAGATTGCTCCCAAGCCACAGGCAAATAGAGAGTTGGCCTTTCCAGGAAAACACAGACATGACATGAGCACATTTCAGCTTTCATCAAATGATTGTGACAATTCAGAGGTTCGGAAGGCCAATCGAAGTCATCCTGCGCCCCTTTGGCCAACTCTCGCCCGGATTGAGCACTAAAAGCCAAACAACTCAGACTCGCCCTCAAGGCTGCAACAGCACGATGGTATAGTTACTTGAGGTAGATCCGCCAAATAAACTCGCACCAACATCGCTTCGCCTTCCGTCACCTACCCAAAAGACCTCGAAACACAGGGTTCGCCTTTTGCCAGGACTGACAAGGTAAACCAAATTCGAGAAATTTGAAATTTGACAAGCCACTGATACCCAACCTGAGAAACCAAAAGATCAAATGGGCGACGCGCCACGTGCACCATACCGCGCGCAAGTCGCGACAGTCCGAAACTCTGATCGCCAGGTCGCCTTCCGCATACCTGCGCAAGATACTAGTATCCAAAACCAGCTTTTGTTGCCGACATATGACATATAACTATAATATACCTATACATACACATACATTATGTGCATGTATAGGTATAAACCTCGGTTTCTTGCCGCATGTTCCAACCACATTCACTACTTGGAACATGTCACAACCAGCAGCCCCGCCCCATGTCAAATAGGGTCTTAAGAGACTGTCCTGAATGAAATGCCTCCTCCTTCTCATCCTTGCCCCAAACAAAGGTTTTAGGGAGATGCTTGCCCTACTATTCAGTGCCAGGGACATATCATACAAATGAGTTCAAATGAGTCACAGAATAAAACGCGGCTCCGGAGTGCCTTTCTTCCAGAAGAAACGCAGCTCAAATTGACTTTACTGGCACTGGCACAAAAATGGGGGGGTTGTCATGCGACCATTCTCAATCACTGGCACCTAAAAAAGACCACTGAGGAGTGCGTGAAGGTCAAGCATTGCTCAAGGCAAGCACAATTGCAAACCTCTTCCTGGATTTGCCTGGACACCCTCCGCTTCAACTCTGGACTCCATTCGCCGTGGCTTTTTTTTGGCCTGGGCGGCTGACCGCAAATGGCCGGCTGGGGCATCGCAGGTCTCCTTCCTCCACCTCCCCCGTAGGTCCGTAGGTTGCTTACAAACAAGCAAACTGTAAGCTACGCGGACGTACAAGAAGAGAACTTGGCCCCAGCTCCAAGTGACTTTCCAAGATCCATCCCGCTCCCTCGGCCTTCGCCTTCACCGCAGACCACCACGTGGCCACGCTTCCTCAAGCGGAGAGGACGGCTCCGGACACGACAAGGTGCAAAGTGCCAAACCAAGGGCTACTCGTGACTTCAGGATGACTCAGCTCAAACAAACAGCCCATTTTGTGAAACCAAACCTTCAAATCAAGTTAAGTGTGAAAATGAGACGCTGAGTCGGCTGGTGTCGTTACACAGGAAAGCGCAATGCTATTTGGTGCTTTCCTAGTAGGATACCAACTGGAACGACTGAACAGCTGGAAAACTTTTCAGGTCCTTGTGTCGGGTTCCGTGCCATTTCAAGCACGCTTGCTATCGACCCGCAGGGGCCTCCAACACAAAAAGCCGGCACTCTGTTGCAACACACAAAGCCGACGTTGTTGCCTTAGTGCTGCTCTTGGTGTTGGTGTTGATGTTGATACTGCTGCTGTTGTTGCTGTTGCTGCTGTTGCTGTTGTTGGTGGTGTGGTGGTTAGTTGTGGTTGTTGGTTGTTGGTTGTTGGCTGTTGGCCATTAGCTATGAGCTATTAGCTATTAGCTGTTGGTTGTTGGCTGGTGGCTGGTGGCTGTTGGCTGTTGGCTTTGCCTGTTGGCTCTTGGTTCTTGGTTGTTGGTTGCTGTTTGTTGCTTGTTGCTTGTTGTTTGTTTGTTGTTTGTTGTTTGTTGTGTGTTGTGTGTTGTGTGGTGTGTGTTGTGCGGTGTGTGGTGTATGGTGTGTGTTGTGTGTTGTGTGTTGTGTAGTGTGTGTTGTCAGTTGTTAGTTGTTTGTTGTGTGTTGATTGTTTTTTTGGTTTATGTGGTTGTTTGTTGGTTGTTGGTTGTTGGTTGTTGCTTCTTGGTTATCGGTTCTTGTTGGTTGTTGTTGGTTGTTGTTGGTTGTTGTTGGTTGTTGTTGGTTGTTGTTGGTTGCTGTTGGTTGTTCTTGGTTGTTGTTGGTTGTTGTTGGTTGTTGTTGGTTGCTGTTGGTTGTTGTTGCTAGTTGTTGCTTGTTGTTGGCTGTTGTTGGCTGTTTGGTTGTTGGTTGTTGTTGGTTGTTGTTGGCTGTTGTTGGATGTTGTTGGTTGTTGTT